CCAGAATCTGTGATTTCTTCGTTCTGTTGCAGAAACCCTAGAATTGCCTCCTCCGCCATGTTTCTCTTCCGTATTTCGCTCAGTCCGCCGTATGTTTCAAAGTGCTCTGAGTTTTTTCCAGTTATGCGGCTAGGCCTGGGACATTCGATGAGCCTCGATCCGGTACGGTTCGGTATTTTAGTAGTTTCGATTCGGTTCGGTTTGGCAATTAAATTGGTTGGTCAACAGAAAAAGAAAAAGACTTGCGAATTTTTCTGCACCTTCACGTGAAACGACATCGTCTTTTTTACTAATTTTGCAGTTCTCGCCTATTTTGCATGGGTATGCCACGTGGAACATGCAGAAGTTGCCAGTGAACGAGTATTTTTCTCTACATCAGTCACCAAAAACCGAATACGAAAAGACAAAAAAAAAAACAAATCAAAGGCTAAAAAACACAGATCATACGAGAGGAAGAAAGACGATGGGGAAGATGAAGCACTTGTCATCCATTGCGAACGACGTTGTTCAACGATGCTCACAGTATTTATTCTCTCCCTCTGGCTATATATTTGCAGATCTATGTTTCGATTAAGAGAAAGATTTTAAGGATCGTTAACACTAAAAGTCTTAATTCAGAAATTAAACTGTAGATCATGTTCATGTAACCATATTCTTGTAAGTGGGCATGCTTTATGGGATTTCGTTTCCTTCGTGGTTAAGCCAAAAATAATATGAACCCGGTTTGAAAATTATTATGGCCGGTTTAGCATCGGTTTAGTTTGGAATAGTGATGGAGTTTTAAATCACTGATGTTGCAGGGAACTAGACTTACCCATTGATAAAATGGTGGAAGAGTTTGAATGTCAATGGAAGCCTGGAGCACAAGGCACTTACTCGAAAAAGTTTGTGGAATTTTGCAACACAAAGGTGATGAGTAGGGTTTGTCAAAACATACCTGAGAGAATAAAAGATAGTTCTTTCACACGTCTCACGTTCGATATGATGCTTGCATGGCAACAACCTGACGCAAATGACAATGATCAGTCTCATCATTTGGTACCTAAACTCTCAAACATTAAGACCTGATCGATCACACTATATAAAATTTTTGGATTTGGAGTTTTGTTAATAATGCATGTTTACTTGTGTTCAAAGGAATCAGTAGGTAAGGAGAGTGAAGACAAGAGGATTCAATCAACCTTATCCCCAGAGCAAGACGACATCTCCCTTTTTTATTCAGACATCATGCCACTTCTAGTAAGAAAAACTTTGTTGTTATTAAACTAATCATCTTCTATGTAAGTAATTATACATCAAGTTTTAATTTTATGATTCATTAATTAGGCTGATCATGAACCAAGTGTGGGTGAAGACGCATTTGTCTATTTGGGCACAATCGTTCCTCTCCCCGTTGATATCATCAACGGAAGATACACCTTTGAGACTCTAACTGCTCCTACCGGCCACAAACTTCACTTCCCGGCTTATGATATGTTTGTCAAAGAAATACACAAGTAATTATTCTTATGATATATATATATATATAGTGCATATAATTGGTTTTTAAGACTGAACATAAATCATGTCTTCTTCAAGGTGCATGAAGCATTTGCAAAAGCAAGCGAAACCTAAAGGGGTCGAATTAGCGGATGATGAAATTATATTGCATGTTGAAGGAACAATGGCTTCACAGAGAGTGGTTCGCCACATTAAAGAAACAAGCTGGCCTGGTTTGGTTTTACAATTATTTCCTTTTTGTGATGCAAAACTCATGGCTACTAATTTCTTATCAAAATGTGTCTTTGACTTTTTTGTAGGTAGGCTTACTTTGACTAACTATGCACTATACTTTGAAGCCGCTGGAATTATAAACTATGAAGATGCTATTAAGATAGATCTTACTAAAGACAGTGGTGCAAATTCTGCAAAACCTATTTCCACTGGTCCATGGGGTGCCCCTCTTTTTGACAAGGCCATTGTCTACGAGTCTCCGGATTTGTAAGTATTTCTAAAGGATGATTTAGTGCATACTTTGTATTAGGAGCCCATCATTTGTGAGTATGACTTATAATTTGTTTACCTTTTTTAGTGAGGAGGGAGTTGTCTTAGAGTTTCCAGAGATGACAAGCTCAACGAGACGAGATCATTGGCTTATGCTTATTAAGGAGGTAACATTGATGCACCAGTTCTTGAAGAAACACAATGTTGAGGCTCCCTCACAAGCATGGGAAGTACATTCGAGAACAATCTTGGGAATCATACGGTTGCATGCAGCTCGTGAGATGCTGAGAATTTCTCCCCCGGATCCAAAAAAGTTTTTAATATTCAGTTTATTTGAGGAAGTTCCTAAGGGAGACTTCGTACTAGAAGAGCTCGCAGGGATTAGTCTAAAGGTGGGTGCTACCAAAATCCCGTGTAGTGCTAGCTCTATATTGAGGAGTATGAACATGGAACAGCTTGGTAACATATTAAAAGAAGAGGGAGAAGAAAAGAGTAAGGAGAAAGGGAAAGTGATTGAGGAAGAAGACATGCTTGCGTCTCTTGAAAGTGCAGTGAATCAGTCAAGAGAAGAAGGAATGGAGATTGAAAAGGCCAAAGCTACGACAACGGAGCTCGAAGAAGAAGGGATTAGTGAAAGTGTAGCAGTTCTTATGGTAAGAAGATTCTTGCGATTGGGGTGAACTCATGTTATGCATGAAACTGAAAACAATGAGGTATTTTGCAGGAGTTGATGAAGCCATTGCAAGACGCATTACCATGGTTCCAAGAAGTGCTTTCTTGGAAAAGGCCTTCTCGCACGCTTTTCATTTTGGCCCTTACCATTTTAACTGTCTACAAGTGAGTTTAAAGTAACGTATATCATTATTTAGAAGAGTAAATTAATGGTATATACTGTTAATATAAGAAACTAATTGAATGTTACAGGGAGTGGATTGGTAAGGCTATATCTGCTTGCTTAATATTGGCGGTGGTTAAAATGGCTCAGGCTAGAAATAAGATGGTCCACAAGAAACGTGAGGATGCGGTAACAGTGAGCACCGAATCCGACCAAACAGTGACTGAGAGCATTGTGTCGGCTCAACATGGTTTAATAAGACTTCACCAGTTGATGCAGCATGTCAACATAACAATCATGAAGTTGCGGTCCATATATACATCCAAGGCTAGCAAGGTAACCACTGTATACATAATAACTTCGATGTTGTTTGTATTGTTTTGAAACAATTATGTTCTATCGTACTCTTGGATCGTAGCATGCAAACATGGTTATGGCGTCGATGTTAGCGTTGGCAAGCTTCTTCGCGGTGGTGCCGTTGAAGTTGGTCATAATATTTGGTACAATATATTGCTTTGTAATGACATCGAGTGTCGGAAAATACATGAGCAACGATCAGAGTAACCGGAGAATGAAAGAGTGGTGGGATTCCATACCCATTGTTCCCGTTCGTGTACTCGACTCTTCTTCCAAGTAGTTCACTTAATGTGTGATCACAAAGGCGACTATTTGAAATAAAGTTTGTTTTGTAATATATGTATTACTTACAAACTTATGTCACTAGCTACAACTATTATATAATAAATAAATTAGTGTATAACAGAGTAACATGTTAATAGTTTTACACTTTTACTTGTCTGCGTTGGGACTTTATTATGTTGTTGTTGTTGTTGTGTTGACATATATCGTTGCCTTGTACATAACCATAATCTTCATCGTCCTTTTTAAGTAAGATATATTTAACCATAATCTTCATCGTCCTTTTTAAGTAAGATATATTTAACCATAATCTTTATCGTCCTTTTTAAGTAAGATATATTTTACCACGAGTATTCAAAATAAAATTGTATGGAAACAGATTTTTCTTTTGACTTTTTTTTTTTTTAACTGTTGAATATTTGTTTGGCCCACCATAAGATTTGTATAAGGAGCATGCATGCAAGAATTTCAACAAAAACAAAATCTACAACCAAACTAAAAAGAAAGTAGAATTAGAGTATCTACGGAAAATGAAAAGCAAGAAATCTTCACGTGCTTATGGTACAGGTTTTCTTCTGATATCAACTATTTTCTTGATTTTCTTCTCACGTAAGTCATTTGTTATATAACTTTATATATATATATATATATATATATATATATATATATAAGATGGATTTTTGTGATGGTTATATTTGAATGTATGGTTACAGTTATTCTTTTTTATCAATGACAGGACAAGCAAGTTCATACCAAATGCTCATATGTTTGGATCTAAACATATCATGTTCTGAGTGCAAAGCACAATGCAACGAGACAAGTTATGGAGGAATATGTGTAAAGAAAAATCCCAAAACCAATCGTATAATTTGTTGTTGCAAAAAAAGTCCTCCGTCATATTATGATCTCATAGATGCTCCTTCTTCATAATCATATTCATATTATATGATTGAATATGTATGTTCCTTTTTGGTAATATATGCCATATTGGATTTGGTCAACATGTTTCTATACATTTAAAGGAATAAAATCTACAAATAAATTATTTCAACATCCTTCATAGATGTTTATTTTAACCGGTAAACTCCATTCACAAACCTCCTAATTAGGGGTAATTATATACGTCACTCGATGGTGAATCGTAATCAAAAACCACTAAATTGGTTTAACTATTGAAGCCACTACTATGTAATTTAGGCACACACAACATCTGTTATTTTCAAACTCCTCTCACGTGCCCACTGAAATCTTTTCACCTTTTTAAGTCAATGATACTGTGGAAATTGGGAAGAGTGGAGAAAACTCGCCTACTACTTATTTATATTTATCAAAAATACTTTTATATTAACTTATGGCCATATATATCACGTGTCATTTATACGATTGAGTGCATCCAATTTTTGTTTAGTGAGATATTTTACCAAAAACAAAAAATACTATCTATATCAACTGATTGTGCAAAAAGAGGAAGATTTACTTCCTTAATTTACTGATAAAAGCATAATTGCCCACATATGCACCACGCACTTTCTCTATAATTAAGACAAAAACAAGAACTCAATCGCTCAAAGAGAGAGAGAGAGAGAGGAGAAAGAATATGGCGATATCTCAAGATCATAACAAAGCATTTGGTTGGGCAGCCAACGACAAATCCGGCATCTTATCTCCGTTTCATTTCTCTAGAAGGTTTCTTTCTCATAATTTTGACAATTGTATATCTGATTCTCTCTTCACAAGAGAGAGAGGGAGATATCAAAGATTTGGTCATTGTGATTGATGATGATATAAACTTGTCTTTGGTTTGGTGTTATATGTATAGAGAGAATGGTGACAACGATGTGACGGTGACGATATTGTTTTGTGGTGTTTGTCACTCTGATCTTCATACCATCAAGAACGATTGGGGATTCTCTCAGTACCCTATCATTCCCGGGTACCCCTAAAACTCTTTCTAGGCCATTACTAGTTACCATTTCTTATAATCTCTGCAAAAATATGTAAGGATCAAATATTCGGATCGATGTGTTTGTCAATAGTGGATCAAGAAAATGCTTTCAATAATACAAATATTCTGAGAAATAGATTTCGAAAATATGCGAATGCCTTTAGATATTTGTATTATTTTTCAACAATTCATGGTCCAGATTTTGGAAAATGGGAAAACCTTAGATATTTCACGGTTATTCATGGTCCAGACTATTTTTTATTCCTTTGTATGAGATCTTTATTTCCTTTATAGGATATCTTGGTGAATATGGAATAAAGAAAAATGATTTATGGAGATTTTATTACCATTTTTATTATAAAGTAAAAAAAAAAGAGTTTGGTGGAAAGAAAAATAAGGGTTTGATACAACAAAAGTTTATGTATGAGTTTAGATTTTAAATTAATTTTGCATTGTATAGTAAGTTTTGAACAAATTTGGCTGTTTTATATTAAAAAAAGTGCACCCGGAAAAATACTGCTTGATTACCATTTACCAATACTAATAATAGTCTAATTCTATTTTTGGTAAAATATACTAATTCCAATTTCGATCGTGAACAACTACTTTCTCATTCGACTAGGCATGAAATCGTTGGAATCGCAACAAAAGTTGGCAAGAACGTGACAAAGTTCAAAGAAGGAGACCGAGTAGGAGTAGGAGTCATAATCGGTTCATGCCAATCATGTGAATCATGTAACCAAGACTTAGAAAACTACTGTCCTCAACTTGTCTACACATACAACTCTCGTTCCTCTGACGGAACCAGAAACCAAGGTGGTTATTCCGACAAAATCGTTGTCGATCAACGCTTTGTCCTAAGCTTTCCCGACGGTTTACCGAGCGACGCAGGCGCACCGCTGCTCTGCGCTGGAATCACTGTGTACAGTCCAATGAAGTATTACGGTATGACCGAAGAAAAAGGGAAACATTTAGGTGTGAGTGGACTTGGTGGGCTTGGTCATATCGCTGTGAAGATTGGTAAAGCCTTTGGTTTGAAAGTCACTGTGATTAGTAGATCATCGGAGAAAGAGAGAGAAGCCATTAATAGACTCGGTGCTGACTCGTTTCTCATCACAACCGATCCTCAAAAGATGAAGGATGCAATTGGGACAATGGATTTCGTGATGGACACGGTATCAGCAGAACATTCTCTTTTACCGTTGTTTAGTTTGCTTAAAGTGAATGGAAAGCTTGTGACGTTAGGCTTACCGGAGAAGCCACTTGAGCTACCAATCTTCCCTATGGTTCTCGGTAAAAACACCTCCGTTATAAGCTGTGATTTTTTATGTTTTGTTGCGTATTGTGAAAGTAACATTAGGGTTTTTTGTGTGTTTTTGTTAATACAGGAAGGAAAATGGTAGGAGGAAGTCAGATTGGAGGGATGAAGGAGACACAAGAGATGCTTGACTTTTGCGCCAAGCATAATATCGTTTCGGATATCGAACTCATAAAGATGAGTGATATCAACATGGCCATGGACCGTTTGGCTAAATCTGATGTTAGGTACCGGTTCGTGATCGATGTGGCAAACTCCTTCAGTTCTGCTTTATAAGCTGAGAGATTAAAGAACATGTCGACCATTTCTGCATATGGTTTCTGGTCTTCCATCTATGGTGTAATGAATAAAGCAAAGAATCTGGGAATTTCTGGAGAACGGTTACAAAAGCACGAATCTATTTTCTTGTTGGAGAAGTTGCTTGTCTTTTCTATCTATACTCTGTTTTGTTTTAGGTGAAAGATTGAGAGAGATCCATTTTCTTGCTGAACAAGTTACTCTTTTCTTCTTTTATGCTCTGTTTAGTGCTTGTTTAACAGTTGTTTTGAAGCAAGGATTGTTACAGAAGAAATGTTGAACCCTAAAAGTAGCTGTATTTTGTATCTTGAAAATTCAAAATACTATAAAACACTCTAGCCAGGAACCAAAAAAAATGCTCTGTTTAGTGCTTGTTTAACAGTTTTTTTAAGTGAAGATTAATCTTGTAAAGTTAATTTAGTTTAAGGGTTTTTTGTAATAATCCAAAAAAGAATATTATGTAATTCATTCTAATTACTTTTTTTTTTTGCTGCTAAGGCTTGTGTATGCATTGTGATAAGGGGCAGAATCGAGATATAGCAAACCACGAGAAATCCGAAAGTAACCCTAAATAGTTTTTATCATTCTTCTCCAAATCTCCAGTTTTCTCCATCTCGTCGAAACCATGAATAACTTGGAAGAACGCAGGAATTTCGCCCGTAAGATATCTATCTCTTGCTCGAAATTGTTTGTTATATGGATTAGGTTTCATCTGAATCTCATCGATCGGATCAATCTATTATCAGTTTCGTCATTGTTTATATGTTTGTGAAAGCTGATGAATCTATGCATCACACTATACAGATGGTGAGATACACGTCTTATGGGACATTGTGGATTTCCCAGTCCCTAAGGGTGAGATTGATTTGTTTTATAGAAGTGTCATATCATCTCTCCGGAATGGGGGTTATTTCGGTAGACATCGTATCAGAGCTTATGGTCATAGAGAAGATCCGAAGGAGTTAGAGTTGGAGTCTGTACATCCCGAAATCATACTACTACGGCGAAGTAAGTTGTTTCACTCTTTTAACACTTGTTTTGTCTCTAGTCTACATCTCAGTTTATATGTATTTTCCAGGCAGTAGATATGCGAGAGTTACAAGCATATTACTGGACATGCTTGACTCTACACGTATGTCTCTTCCTCCAGCAAATTTCATGTTGATTATGAAAGGCATGGCAGAGGAAGACACGGAGGTTGTCTACGCTATTAAAGAGATGAGGAAATTAAACTACAATGTTCTCTTAGTAGCGGCTGGTGAAGAAGACTACTACGCATACCCATCAGAGGTGCGATCTAGTTGCACCGTATGGTTGTGGAAAAGCCTAGTCAATGGAGGCTGCCCTATACGCCCTACCACCACAAGTGATTCGGAAGATGATTCAGAGGACGATGATTCTGATACTTGTAGTGACGAGGGAAGCAGCTCGCATAAACGTCAGAAGAAGATGATTGATGCTGCTTCTGCAAGTAGCGTCTGTGCGTTTTAAAACGTTATATTTTGTTTTCGTCTATGAGAAGATTGGCTCTTTTGTCAAGTTATGCACGTAAGTTATCAATATTGTGCCACTATACTGTTGAATATCAGAAAGAATCAAACACTAGGAACATTCCCTTGTTCAGACTGTTTTGCTACAGCCTTAGGAGGAGATACCTTGTTCTCTAGAGCCTTGAAGCTTCCATAGCATTCCCCAATGCATCTGTGAAGAGAAATATAGAGAGATCGCTGTGCATTCCCTGTTTCTTGGTTACAAGAGGGGGAGATTCGAGTTGAATAAAGATGTTTTTTTTAGCTTGTTGCTTCACATTACACAGCCACAGCTTCTGGCTTCTTGCTGGTCTTGATTCTTTTTATAACTTCAGTTTTTCGTTTTAAAAACAAAGAAACACAAAACACTTCAGATATATATATAGACTTTAAGCTCCATGACCAGAAACTGTTTGACCACCATAGGATATATATACATGGATATTGATGCATTGGGGAATGCTATGGAAGTCCACTATTTCTCCCCATCTCTGAATGTTGATGCATTGGGGAATGCTATCGATATTCCAAATGAAGATCCAAAACTGGTCTACTAACCAAAAATAAGAAAAACGGACTTCTGATGAATCATACAAATAAAATGGAGTAAATAGGCTTGAAATTGTCATTTGTGACTCATAAGAGTACAATGAGAAACCTATTTTATTTGTATCTTATTCCGTAGAAGAGATCACAAATGAAAATCCGAAACTGGTCTATTAGTCGAAAATAGAGAAAACTGACTTCTGATGAAGGACACATAATAGTAGAAGGAGAAACTTTTCAAAATTAGTGGACTTCCATATTGTAGTCCTGTCAAAAAAAGAGTAAACAGTATTGTAGACTTGTAGTCGTAAATTTGCAATCAAATTAAGGGTTAATTAAGAGCGCCAGAATATAGAAACAAACAGATAGGTTCTTGTAACAAACAGATAGGTTCTCTTCAGCGTCTGCGCCTGCACATTGATTTTTTCACACAACCCTTTGAGTAACCAATCATATCATATATGATTGGAATTCCAAAATAAAACATCGAAATTCCAAGACAGCATTCATATCATATAAACAGAAAGAAATATACATATTAAATGAGGGAAATATGAGATCAAAACAATTCAAAGCACCTTTCCTTTCTTCCCGTAAAGAAGGGTGTGTGTGAAGTACGAAGAGGTTGTCGTCAGGTTTCCTCTTGGATAGTTTATAAGCCACTGAAAAAAAACAGTTCACAAGCGAACATTACAGTTCATCATCTTCCCCTTAAGTATCATGTAGAGAACACCTAATCGAAATCTACTCAGGTTAAGGACCAAGTCAACAATGTGTGGTTAAGTCAACACATACCATTTGGAATCTCCTTAAGCTGTGTTCCACGACCCTGAAACCAGAACTAGTCAAAGGCCAATTCTCTCATAGAACTCAAATCAAAAAAAAAAAAAAAAAGAACCAAACTTTCGTCGTTTTCTACCTGCTCAATTGACACAGGCTTGCTCGCCGGTCGAGAGGGAGTAGGCAAAATGTAACGCACCACTTTCTTTCGTATCCTTGTAGGCCTCTGACTGACTGGAGTCACCGGCGACTTACCTTCTTCTTGTAACAACAATGCATAAGCTTTTCATAATTAGTGGACTTCCATAGCATTCCCCAATGCATCAACATTCAGAGATGGGGAGAAATATAGAGAGATCTCTGTGCATTCCCTGTTTGTTGGTTACAAGAGGGGAAGATTCGAGTTGAAAAAAGATGTTTTTTTTTAGCTTGTTGCTTCACATTACACAGCCACAGCTGCTGGCTTCTTGCTGGTCTTGATTCTTTTTATAACTTCAGTTTTTCGTTTTGAAAACAAAGAAACACAAAACACATTAGATTATTGTCCCATAAAGTGAGCAAGTATATTTTAGTTTGGTGTATAAGGACAAGACTCCGTAAATACATAAAACTATATACGGGGCAGAATAGAGATTTACCAAAAAGAAAGCCGAATAAATATCTGCTAAAACCCTAAATTGGTCCAAATCTCCATCAGTGGAAAACAAGAAGGCCGTCGTCTCGATCATTCAAATCGAGGGTATGCGTCAAATATTCGCCAGTAAGATATCCATCTCTCGTAATTATTTGTTTGTGTTTTGAACATATGTTTGTCAATATATATATTTGGATCAATTGCATTATTAATTTTTTTTTTTTCAATTTTGTATCGCACTCTTGTCTCGCAGACGCAGAAACAGGCATGTACTGGGACGTGGAGGATTTTCCAGTGAGCGATATAGTTTCGTTTAGAGAGAATATCATATCAGCTCTTGGTCATGAGGGTTATCATGGTAACGTGTCAATCACGGCTTATGGACGGGAAGAATCGCCGCATCAATATAAGGCTGCCGGAATCACCTCTGTATCCAGAGGTGCTTTGTCTCTTTTTTTCTATATTACTTTCAATATCATACTGAAGATAATGTTGTAATTTTTGCATATTTACAGGCTCTAAACGTGCTAGAGTTCACCGTATGTTACTGGACATGTATTTGGGCAATCCTACTTTTGCACCAACAAACGTGATGACAATTGCAAAAGGCTTGGCGCCGTCTGAGGATGATATGGACGCTTGTTGGCCGATCATCTTGAAGATTTGGATTGGGAACGCTACCATATTCTCGTAGCAGTGCCTGATGATGACTACCAACCTGAAAGGATGCCAGATAGGTTGAACCACTCAGTATGGCTTTGGAGTGACCTCTGTGCTGGACGCAAAACCTCTTGAGCATAGCCTTGTCATTCGACAACCACCACCACAAGACATGGAGCAAGATTCTTGTCCTCTGTGTGGAAAATAAATGTTTTATCATAAGAGCAACATTAATGGAGACCTGAGAGTAAAGGCTCTTACATTTTCTTATTATTAAAAATTTTGATTTTTTTTTTAAAAAGAACGCCAATCATATTATGCCATGTCATTTAGAATCGTTTCTGCAGCCTCTGTACAGAGAGAGAGGCGATTCTGTTGCCATGTCATTTTTTTTCCTTTTTTTTCTTTTTCTTTTTTGTTTAGAACTTCTAAAAAACTGTCCATTAATGTTGCTCTAAGAGCCTTTGGTTTGTCAAGTTTCTCTGCAGCATTCATGTAGAACAATTATCGGCTAAGTAGATCAAAAAAATCAAAAATAAAGCTATAGAGGCCGCTCCAATGTCAAATATTAGCATTTGAACATAAGAGCGTAGAAAGTAGATTTACTATTCAAGAGAGTTTCTCTACCCCCACATATATATGAAAAAACAAATTAAAAGAGAAGAAATAACCTAAGACATGGTGGAATGGACTAATTAATGGATAATTTTGATTATTTTTCTTTGGCCTCATCGTGTATATATATAGACGTTCCACCATTGCTAAGCTGTTCTAAAAATATGAGGCTATTGGAAAAAGAAAAAAAGACATGTAGTCTTTCTTCTCTCTTTCACTAAAATTCACTGACTGTTCTTTTTAATTCTCACAGTAATTCTATGATTAGAATCTTAAGTAGCTTTATAAACCTTCAGAATCAACATTCAGAGATGGGGAGAGTTATAATAGCTTGAAAATCTATAAATAATGGTTTGAAAATCTACAAACACCTCCAACAGCTGAAAATAATAGCTTGAAAGTCTTCTTCATTAGCAGTCAAATAATGGTTTCGATTTTACCATTGATTTGCATGATTTCCGCGACGACACTTTGAGTTTCTACCAGTTATAGGATTTTTTTTCTTAACCTTATGCCCGTTTGTCACATTGTCAAAGACATTGAATATACCTGTTTCAAACACCCTCAACAGCTGAAAGTCGATCTTAGTAATGGCGATTTGGAGTTTGCATTTGAAGAAATTCATATTGAAATCAGTGGGTCAATCATTAAAAGCACTTTCATAATCTATATAGACTTGTACCCCAAAGTTGGGTTGTTTGTCGAAGAGATCGAGGAATTAGACGCTTTCCAAAATATGAGAGTGCTTCAAATCTCTCTCTTTCAACTGCAACTTCTTCTCTCTCTTTGTCTAACCGATTTTGAATTCCTGCTTTTGCTCGCTCCAGCTCTTTCCCCTTTTAACAGCTTCATCCATTGTTTTGAATAACTAATCATATTGGAATAGAAGCTTATTTCCTCTGAAATTATGTCGCAAACATGATCTGATTTCTTTTCATAAATATTAACATTTGGCCAACTTTTGCACATGATGTATATATCTTAACCAAATTAATCAAAAGTATTGGGAGATATGAGGATTTATTATGTAATTATATATGTATGTCAATAAACCTAATTTGGTATCAAGATTTTTTTATTGATAAAGATGTCAAAGTTTTGCCTTATATACATAACGTTAAACCTAGATACAATTATGTCAATTACTTAACTATACATAAGTAATTAATAATTACATAATAGATCTTTATATCTCCCAATGCCCCCTAAGAGTATGAATTTGATGCTGGTTCTGCAAATAGCGTATGTGCGTTTCAACATTAACATAATTGACTTTTGCGCCAAGCATAATATCGTTTCGGATATCGAGCTCATAATGATGAGTGATATCACCGGTTCGTGATCCATGTGGCAAACTCCTTGAATTCTGCTTTATAAGCTGAGATTAAAGAACATGTCGACCATATCTGCTTTCATTTTTTTTTTCCGTCTTCCATGTATGGTGTAATGAATAAAGCAAAGAATCCGGGACTTTCTGGAGAACAATTACAAAAGCATGAATCCATTTACTTTCTGGAGAACAATTACAAATACAATCTTCTCTTTTATTTCTATGCTTTGTTTCCCGGTATTGTCTGGCTGTTGTTTTAGGGAAAAAATTGAGAAATATCCATTTTCTTGTTGAACAAGTTACCTTTTCTCCTTGTTGTTCTGAAGCAAGGATTGTTACAGAAGCAAGAAATTCTCGTTCGGTTGTTGTTGTATGCTCTGTTTTCCTTAAGGATGTTGCAAAACTTTAATCAATTTCTTGTTACACAAGTTGCTTATTTGAGTTTTTTTTTTTTTCTTTCCTGTTCTTACTATGCCATGGGTCTTGAGACCTGTTTTATTCTGATCATGGTTTATAAATTTTTAGCTATAATATATGAAGAATATATTCCAAATTGGTGGTATTAACTCCCAACAAAATCCAAAGGGCCGGGGGTGGCTCCATTAGCTAGTTCGAATCACTTGTCCATAGTTCAGAATTCACAATGGCCTTCAAGCTGGAATGTATCCATGGTTAGACCCAAAAAAGTAATTAGAGTTTATAACGACTGACTTTTGAAATTGGTAGATTAACCTGTATTTTTTTTAAAGTGAAGACTAATCTTGTAAAGTTAATTTAGTTTAAGGGTTTTTTTGGTAATAATCCAAAAAAATATTATGTACGTAATTCATTCTATTTTTCCTTTTTTTAAGGCTGTGTATGCATTGTGATAAGGGGCAGAATCGAAATTTAGCAAAGCTGATGAATCTATGCATCACACTATACAGATGGTGTGATACACGTCTTATGGGACATTGTGGATTTCCCCGTCCCAAAGAGTGAGATTGATTTGTTTTATGCAAATGTCGGATCATCTCTCCGGGATGGGGGTTATTTCGGTAGACATCGTATCAGAGCTTATGGTCATAGAGAAGATCCTTCGAAGGAGTTACAGTTGTCTGTACATCCCGAAATCATACTACTACGGCGAAGTAAGTTGTTTCACTTTTTTAACACTTGTTTTGTCTCTAGTCCACATCTCTGTTTATACGTATTTTCCCGGCAGTAGATATGCGAGACATACAAGCATATTACTGGACATGCTTGAGTCTACACGTATGTCTCTTCCTCCAGCAAACTTCATGTTGATTATAAAAGGCATGGCAGAGGAAGACACGGAGGTTGTCTACGCTATTAAAGAGATGAGGAAATTAAACTACAATCTTCTCTTAGTAGCGGCTGATGAAGAAGACTACTACGCATACCCATCAGAGGTGCGATCTAGTTTCACCGTATGGATGTGGAAAAGCCTAGTCAATAGCGGCTGCCCTATACGCCCGACCACCACAAGTGATTCGGAGGATGATTCTGATACTAGTAGTGACGAGGGAAGCTCGCATAAACGTCAGAAGAAGATGATTGATGCTGGTTCTGCAACAAGTAGCGTCTGTGCGTTTTAAAACGTTATATTTTGTTTTCGTCTATGAGAAGATTGGCTCTTTTATCGCATCTTGTTTAGCAGCATAAATACTTGTAAGTTATGCACGTCAATATTGTGCCACTATACTACTGAATATCAGAAAGAAGCAAACACTAGGAACCTTTTCTTATATATATATTTGGATCAATTGCATTATTATTTTATTTTTTCAATTTTGTATCGCACTCTTGTCTCGCAGACGCAGAAACAGGCGTGTACTGGGACATGGAAGATTTTCCAGTGAGCGATATTGTTTTGTTTAGAGAGAATATCAGATCAGCTCTTGTGAACGAGGGTTATCATGGTAACGTGTCAATCACGGCTTACGGACGGGAAGCATTGTCGCATCAATATAAGGCTGCCGGAATCCAGAGGTGCTTGCTTGTCAATTTTTTTCTATATTAATCTTTCAAGAATTTTGCATATTTACAGGCTCTAAACGTGCTAGAGTTCACCGTATGTTACTGGACATGTATTTGGGCAATCCTACTTTTGCACCAACAAGCGTGATGACAATCGCAAAAGGCATGGTGCCGTCGGAGGATGATGCAGACGCTCTGTTGGCCGATCATCTTGAAGATTTGGATTGGGAACGGATGCCAGATAGATTGAACCACTCAGTATGGCTTTGGAGTGACCTCTGTGCTGGACGAAAACCTCTTGACCATAGCCTTGTCATTCGACAACCACCACCACAAGACATGGAGCAAGATTCTTGTCCTCTGTGTGGAAAATAAATGTTTTATCATACGAGTCTTTGGTTTGTCAAGATTCTCTGCAGCATTCCACGTGGAACAATTCTTGGCTAGATAGATCGATAAAAACAAAAAATAAAGCTATAAAGGCCGCTCTAATGTCAAATATTAGCATGTGCATAAGAGCGTAGAAAGTATATTTACTATTCAAGAGAGTTTCTCTACCATATATATATATATATATATGTGAAAAAGCAAATTAAAAGAAAAGAAATAACCTAAGACATGGTGGAGTGGACTAATTAATTGATAACTTTGATTATTTTTCTGCAAGCTGTTCTAAAAATATGAGGCTATTGAAAAAGAAAAGACATGTAGTCTTTCTTCTCTCTTTCTCTAAATTTTACTGACTATTCTTTTTAATTCTTACAGTAATTTTATGATTAGAATCTTAAAGTAGCTTTATAAACCTTCATAATCAACAATCAGATATGGGGAGAGGGGTACAATGTACATATACAGTATATATATATATGTACATGTAGCATATTTAAATGTGTGCGCCTACGTAATTGATATGTAGATGTTGCAATTGTGGTTTTTTTGTTGCCTAAGAGAAACCCAAAACACTTTAAGAAAAAAGTTATGTCTTACATGTCGCGATCTCAGCATACTATAAAAGCCAAATCAAAGTTTTTCTTATTGATAAAAATGTCAAAGTTTGGCCTTATATACATAACGTTAAACCTAGATACAATTATGTTAATTACTAAACTATACATAGGTAATTAGTAGTTATATAATATATCTTTATATCTCCCAATGCCCCCTCAAGTTGGAGTATGAAGCAGAGGATGATTCTGGTAGTAGTGACGAGGGAAGCTCACATAAACGTCCGAATATGATTGATGCTGGTTCTGCAAATAGCGTCTGTGCGTTTCAACATTAACATAATTGACTTTTGCGCCAAGCATAATATCGTTTCGGATATCGAGCTCATAATGATGAGTGATATCACCGATTCGTGATCCATGTGTCAAAGTCCTTGAATTCTGCTTTATAAGCTGAGATTAAAGAACATGTCGGCCATTTCTGCTTTCATTTTTTTTTTTTCTCGTTTCCGGAGAACAAGTACAAAAGAATGAATCCATTTACTTTCCGGAGAACAATTACAAATACAATCTTGTCTTTTCTTTCTATGCTCTGTTTCCCGGTATTGTCTGGCTATTGATTTAGGGAAAAAATTTGAGAAATATCCATTTTCTTGTTGAACAAGTTACTCTTTCTCCTTGTTGTTTTGAAGCAAGGATTGTTACAGAAGCAAGAGTTTCTCGTTCGGTTGTTGTTGTATGCTCTGTTTCCCTTAAGGATGTTGCAAAACATTAATCAATTTCTTGTTACACAATGCTTATTTGAGTTTTTTTTCTTTCCTGTTCTTACTGTGCCATGGGTCTTGAGACCTGTATTTATTCTGATCATGGTTTATAAATTTTAAGCTATAATATATGAAGAATATATTCCAAATTGGTGGTATTAACGCCCAAATAAATCCAAAGGGGGTGGCTCCGTTACATCATATAAAAGACCAAAAACTATATAATTATAGCCATAATATTATGAAAGAGTTTGCATGCATTAAAGTTTCACAGGGGAATGAGCTGAAGAAGAACCGCCGGAGTTTGGAGATTGGCAAAAACCTCGAAGGACATTTGTTTCGTCAGAGGTAAAGCCAAGGGAAGTAAGCATCGCTGGCCAACAATTGGTTGTGATGACTTCGACGGCGTGACAGCAATCCACGCCGAGTTTGGTCTCGCCGTTGAGGAAGAAGAGAACGATTTCGTTGGTGCACGATTTCAGCTCGTAGAGAGCATCCCAACACTCCATTAGTCCTCCTCCGCTAAGCCTCGCCGCTATGTTGGTGGAATCCTCCGTCGACGGGAGTGTCCTGCCGGAAATGCTGAGGACGAGGAGGAGAGCTACGGTGACAAAGAGGAAACTTGTGTTAGAAGCCATTGTTCTTTTTTTTGGGTTTTGCTGTGGGGTGATGATTTGTGAATGTTACGAGAGTTATGTTTAATTATATAGTGTAGTTTTGGATTGGATCTGAAGGTTAGTGGTGATTTAAGAGTTATTAAAAGGTGGGTTAGTGGGGAGGAATGGGAAAGGATTGACGGTAAATGATTTTAAAGCATAGTTAGTGAAAACGTATTTAGCATTCGCTTGGAGATTATGAGTAACGGTCCTACTGGAAACGAAGGGTTAAATCTCATGTTAACATCATGTGAACAAAGAGATAAACATAGCATAAATCGAGAAGCAGACTTGTTATATGAGCAAAATTTCCGTCTAATTTTAATAATCGATACAGTTTGTCTGGAATATGTCAGATTATAGACTCTGGATTTTACAGCATTTTTTTATGTCTATATGTATATTATTTTTTATAGAACTTTTTGTTATGTATCAAATACATCTTTGTTGGTCTTAACTTCTGGATGCATGCACTGGTATCTAAATCTAATATATATATTTTTTTTGTAACTAAAATATCTGTTCGAGTTCTCGCAAATTTTTAAAGTTTTAGCTACTCTGATCTTTATATCCTCAGTTTTCTTACAAAGTATGATAATGAGATTTCTTGAATAACTGTGCACAGGCATGAATTAGATTTCTACGTCAACAAGTTACTTGTTTTAATGCTTGGCGTTGTACTGATGATGGTTCTCAAGCTTTCACCTATTCCATGTTGATTGGTTAATCACAAACGCAGACGCTTGCTATAAGCCTATAACAAACTCAGATGAATGAAGTGACATTTACCCATTATACCATAGAATCAAAATTGAGACCATATATTATTATGAGCATAGTTAATGTCTGCATACATCTACGAGGAACATATATATCAAACTATCAAAGGAGAAGGCGCCGGAGAAGAAGAACCACCGGAATTAGGGGACTGACAGAAACCGCGGAGGACATTGGTTTCCTCAGATGTAAAGCCAATGGATGTAAGCATTGCCGGCCAACAATCTGTGGTTATAACTTCGACGGCGTTGCAACAATCGGAGCCGAGTTTGGTCTCGCCGTTGAGGAAGAAGAGAACGATCTCGTTGGTGCAAGATTTGAGCTCGTAGAGTGCATCCCAACATTGCATCAGACCTCCTCCTGTAAGTCTCGCCGCTATGTTGGTGGAGTCCGCCGTCGCTGGGAGCGTTCTGCCGGAGATGCTGAGCATGAGGAGAAGAGTGACGGTGACGAAGAGGAAACTTGTTACGGAAGCCATTGTGTTTTTCTTTTAGGTTTTGTGTTGTGTTTGTGTTGAGTGATGATAATGGTTGCTAAAAGCTGTGATTTATAGTACTCTGTGATTTTGGAAAGAGTTAATCTTTTAATTGTGATTAAATTAGTGGGGGAAGTGGAAGAGGGTTAAGAGTTAATGCGTTCTCATTGAAATAGAGTAACGGTCTTAACGGAAGGATACAAGAGAAGGGTCAATATATTAGATAATTAGTTAAAAGTTCATGAAAGAAACAACAAAGTGGCTGTAGTTTAGTGGTGAGAATTCCACGTTGTGGCCGTGGAGACCTGGGCTCGAATCCCAGCAGCCACATTTACATTGTTTTTTGGATTTTTGGAACTCGTGGGCTTATTATGATTATACGTGTCGATAAGGACCAAAGAGACAAAAGTTAGTGTCAGTTTCGGTTTGTCACCTTGGAATTGAGCTTGTTTGTCATCATAATTCATACTAAATAGTTTCCTGTGGATTCCAAGAAGCTGGCATTTACTAGTCTGCATTTTGTAAATTCCCAGGGAAAAAGTTCAAAACTTTGTGATTCTTGAAAAAATAAGATTGTAGAAAACGTTTAAGCTAATGAAGTAAGATGAACATTTTTGTGGGTGAGTAGATTGGTATCAGTAGCAATTGATGATATAACAAAGACTGGTCTTGTGTTCTTTACTTGGAGTTTGGGTTTTGTACAAATAAGAACAGTAGAAGATGATAGCATTGATGATTTGGAGCACGAGTTCTATGGAATGGATCCTGAACATGTTGCTCTATGCATCTTAACACTGGTCGTGGTATTAACACAGTGTCACACTTGTATTTAGATATTGGTGTGACGATTCTCTTACCATACATGTGTCAAGATGCTGATATGTATTCGGATTGACATGCCCTTATCGTACCCCCATCTACTCCATTTACAGATTCCTCTGCATCTAGTATGTGTTACTGATAAGCTTTCATCTATCTTAGTGCTGATGAAGTCACCTCCTGATGAGTATGTTGTTACAGTACAAACAAGACCAATGGTTCCACAGAAGGATCTTGCAGTTTATGGATATGGAAGTGTTGCATGGAAAGACCACATGGAAGTCTGGAAGAAACGTCAAGTTGAAGAAAGAAATGATATCAATGGTGATTGAAGCATCCTTATCCTGCATTAGCACTATTTTATTAGGAAGTTGCTAAGCAATTGTGCACTCGAGATAGATAAAGAAAGTTCTTGAAATTACTATGAGTAATAAATTCATAAGGTGTCTGGTTTAAGCACTTAACTCCGAAATACTCTTTCGTCATATGGTTGGCTATCCGCAATCGCCTCTCTACTGGAGATAGCCTACAGGCATGGAATGTGGGAGCAGGGATTTCATGCGTGTTCTGTCAACACTCGGTGGAAACCAGGGACCATCTGTTCTTTGAATGCAGCTACTCAACATTAATATGGAGGAACCTCACTCAAAAGTTGCTGCTCAGAGATTATACGGAGAACTGGAACTCGATTTTGGAGCTGTTGGTAGAGGAGACACGAGACCACATATCAACGTTTATACTGCGATATGTATTTCAATCGGCGATCCATCTAATTTGGTGTGAAAGGAACGGCAGGAAACATGGTGAATCCCCAACATCCTCATCTCAGTTGACTCATCTAATCAGCAAGCAACTAAGAACAGATTCTCAATAATTCAAATACAAGGAGATCAGACGTACGCTGAAGGTCTGCAGAGATGGTTTTTAATCCAAGGCTAAATCCCTTTGTAAAATTATGTAGTTTCTGATTTCACGTTTCAGACTTTTCTCTTTGTATCACTGGCTTTTGTTTGGTTAATTTAACATATCCATTCAAAAAAAAAAAAAAATTCATAAGAATAAAAATCTAATGAACTGACCCGGCGAGCAAGAGAGGTGGCAACAAGATTTGAAGTCGCAACATAGAGAAACATGAACGTATAAACACAAATAATCACAGACCACGGTTGCATAACCTGTTTCATCCATAAGTAAATTTGGATTACTGTTACTTGAAGCAAAGGGAAGAACGCAATCGCCAGTTTCTGAGTTCCATTAACAAATTCGAGATACAATATGAAATTAAAACCAAACGTTTAGAAGTGTTGATTAATCAAAGACATGTCTGTAACCTGAAATTTACATTGATTTTTGTTTCAAAATTCAACACATAAAAACCGAGCATAGATAAATGTATAGGGCCATAGGGGTCCATTTTAGATTAAAGATGAGTCTCACATCTTTTATATTCTGCCTTTTCTTTATAACCTTCTTCTTAGCCCTCTTCCAGTCCTCCTCTCATGCAAAACCTAGGAATACTGTTCAATCGTCCCATAAGCTAGTCACCCATTCTCTAAGCGTAGCAAAAACTTCTTCTCACCTTTCACATTCGGAAAGACTACTAATGTTTTGTGTCCGAAAAGTGACAGCAATTTGAAATAGGTTGAGAACCCATTATCCCCAGTCATCATCATAGCGTTTGGAGTCTGTTTACCCTTTTTTATTATTCTTTCCAAGCCAAGCCACTAAGTAGTCTTTGATGTCTTCATTTGCCGTCTGATCATTTTCTTTTTGACCCTATCGATGGAAAAAAAAATGGTCAATTATTCTGGTTTTGGTTTCCATAGAGAGACCAAAGAACATAGAAAAAAGAAAACAAACTCACTAGTAGAAAATCACATTATGATGTCCTCATGCAGACTCGTTGGCACATAAACCCAACTACTAACATCACTTCCATTGGCTCAAGGTAGTCCTTTTTGATGAGATTTTCTTGGATTATTCCAAAGATTTGGTCAAGAGGAAAACCTATCGGAAGAGAAAGGTTTTCATAGTCCCACCATATGTAAGTCTACAAACAAAATCAAACCATTGAGAAAACTTCAGTGGGATCTAATTCAATTCTTTGCTAAAATAATATCATCAAAGAAATTGATTTGTTACCTTCTCATAATTCACCACGGCGGCAAGAGCAACAACAATCTGAAGGCTTGAGGATACCCCTTCTAAGAAGAGGAGGGTTGAGGAGATATGATGGTAAAAAGCATAATATAGTTTTTTGTGTGTTCTCTGCGCAAATTTATACTCGAAAATAGCTAATCTAACTGAGATATACTTTCTTTTTGGAGAATACATGACATTTAAATCAAACAAGTTTTCCAATTTTTGAAAAGATGCTATTGCATTTCATCTCTAATTCATGTATTTATTTTAGAAAGTATGCTCATAGTTTATCATTATTGCCTAAAGTTTTTTGTTCAATGTTTGTTAGAACTTGCAATATCAGATATGGTAAAACTGAAATGAAATCTTTAACTAAAAGGTAACAGTTTATACTAAAAGTTTGACATAGAATTAGTTGTGACCAACTGATATACACAAGTATATTAGTAATATATATGATTTATTTTAATATTTAATTAAAGGAACTAGAAAATTTGACAAAAAGACCAGATGAACTTTTTAATAAATTAGATGAATTCAAAAAGAAAAAAAAAATAACCAAAAACAAGATATATCTAATAGGTTTGTTTATAAAAAAGTGCTATCAAAATAACAACCGAAATAGTTAAATACTCCTCAAAGACGATGAATTGTTGAATTACTTTGCCTGCATTAGAGATAAGTAAAACTTGAACAAATTAGCTAGTAAGCTAATTAATGTAGGACTGAAAATGTATCCTAACCTTTAGAAGGTACTAGGCTTTTAACT